ATATATATCTCACTATCGAAAAAGACTATATTCTTAAATTAAGAATATATTCTTAAATAAAGAATATATTCTTAATTTCAGATGAATATCATCTAAAATCTTTAAGAAGAAAATTTTTAAGTATAAAATCTTCTACTTATAAGAATATAATTTTTTTGGTGTATGTATGTAATAAATATGTATGTAATCGTAAATATGAATAATAAAAACCAAGTGTACCGTCACCCCGCCAACAGCCAACGTCTCCCTTGAGAAAAAATGGTCTGACATAAATGGTCTAACATGAAGAGTTTAAGTAAGAAACATTTGTAGAACACAATAAAGCGACAAGAATATAAGCATGTAATGAGAGAATGTGAAGTCTTTAGTAGAATGTATAATTTCACAAAATGCGATTGATGCGTTTGTAACAAATGAAAATGCGATGAATAACATTGCAAAATATAAAGCAAACGTAACTGGAGAACAAATTTTGAGACGATTTGTTGATTAAAATGAGTAAAATGGATATCACTTAGTATCTTTTATGAATACAAAGTTCAAAAATGTACGCACACATAAATAAGATTCGTTTTTGAAACAAAAAAAAAGAATTCATAAAAAAAAAATCGCGTAACGATAGCAATGAAGTACAGACAGAGAGAAAGGTAAAACGACGCTCTTTACGAAAGCAGGACAGACCTGTCACCGGCACGTAGCTCTTGCTGATTATTACCGCCGTCAAAGGAGACGTAGGCTACGTTGCGGGCATTGCAGTTCGCCATTATCTGAAATAAGTGTAGAAAAGACACACGATTAGACGGCGCTGCGAAGCGTTTCAATTTTACCTGTCGCCGTGGAAAAGCTCCTGTCTATTTCTACCGTCGAAGGACACCCACGACGTGTTCCTGCTGTCGGGTGAAATCGAAATCTGTAGTGGGAAACAAGACGGTATTGTGTTAATTATCGACAGCTACAGCGCTACCGTCTTGTTTTTGAAAAAAACTTCGAAAAAAGCTTTAATTTTTTTTCGGGTTTAACTATCCCGCACAGAAAAACAAAACCTTCATTAGACATCTATTAGATATCGCATGGACTGACGTCTAATGGAGGTTTTGTTCTGTGTGGGATCTTCATAAAAAACTTGCTGTTTTTTACTGACACGCGTGACAATTTTTTTTTTTAAAAAGAAGAATGTTATTTACGAACTTGAAATTTATATACATTGATTTAAAAGCGTAAATTGTTTTATGAAAATATATAAGCGTGTATTTCCTTAAGACCAAGTTTGTACATGATCCAACAATCTGAAATGAAAATTTTTAAAATAGCACACGATGTCTGGGAATGGCATTCGTTAGAAACTTTCCTTTTGAACATAAAAGCCATAGATCTTGAATAGAAAACAACTTTCTTTCATTCACATGGAAATGTCCCTTTGTACTAATTCAAAATTAAAAAATCTGAATAAAAAGAATTTGTGTTTTATGGCTAGTTTTTGTCAAAAACTTAATAAATCCGGTTATCACAAAAAAAGTGAAAAATAAATGTGCCATATTATTCTTGGTCAAAAACTTTTAAAGAACTACCTTGAGCTCGACCCCGGCAGGTACGACGATCGGCCTGAAGGACAGGGAGTGAGGACAGATCGGTGTAATCATAATGGCGGGAACTGAAGGATGAATCATACTGGCACCGGCGGCAACGGCGTAAGCAGTCGACCCAGTCGGTGTGCTTACGATTAACCCGTCACCCTGGACATTCGTTACGTGCTTCCCGTCGATGAACAAGTCGATGTTTGATAGGTAAGGGGAAGGTCCTCGATCAACCACAACCTCATTCAACACTTGGATATTTGTACGTGTTTCTGGCTGCTCTTCGTTCTTGCGCACGATGGTACACATCAGGCGGCTCCGTAAGGTCAAGGCCGCATGTCCTGGAGTTGAACACATTATTGATGAACAAAAAATACAATGACAAAAACTCTGCAATACAAAAAAAAGTCAATGAAGATCATAAAAAAGATACACAAATCTGGAGAGAAATGTGTATTGTTTTTAATAAACTTGTTATTATTACATTTAATATTGACTGTTTGTTTTAATTACAAGTACAATTTTGCTGACTTTTTTTTGCAAAGTTTGTTTTAGATAATCTATGTAAAAGTTGGTAAAAAGTATATTTAGAATAAAATGTTTTCAAGTTTTAATCGAAATTGTAGATTGTCTATAACTCTAAGGTTACTTAACTACTAACCTTCAAGGACATTGTTTACTTGTTCTTGAAAATTATTAAATTCGAAGGGAGTAAGAAATCCTAAGGAACCAAGATGGAATGCCATTACAGGAGGTACAGATTCTTGAAACAGCATACTGGCGTAAAGAAGAGTGCCGTCGCCTCCCAAACAAACGATAAAATCAATTCGATTCTAAAAAAAAAAAAAAAAAAAAAAACAAGATAATATACGTTCTTAAGAATAATAGTATAAAAATATGAAAGGTATTTAAACAATAATATTAAATATAGAAGATAATAAAGAAGTATTAAAAATACTAAGATATAAAAGTATAAAAAACACTAAAAGATCATAAAACTTAATTGTTCAATAATTTATTTGTAAAACAAAAAGCTGTTTACATCTGCATAATTTTTCATAAAATTATTATGCAAAACAGATCTTGATGAAAAAATTTAACTTCATATTTCTCTGCCAAAAAAAAATATCCAAAACAGCACACAAAGGTCAAAAGATAAAAATGTCTAAAAGACAACAAAACGCTTGTGTAAATTGTTAATCATATTTTAAAGATACGTATTGTCTGGTTAGATAAAGATGATTTCATGGCTATTATGTGCAACTCTCATAAATTTTACAAAACCTTGAAAACACACAAATAATTATTACCTGTAACTCAATGCGGTCTTTGAAAGTTTGCAATTTTTCTCGAATACTTTGAAATTTGGCATCCCTAGCCAAAGGTGGATCATCCAGAACTGACGCTTCCACAAAAACTACCATTCGTTTTTCCTACATCACATAAATAAAACTTTGAAGATTTTCTTTGAAATACGTAGAAGTACAAAATGCACATATTATAACTCTTACTATATATTACTGTTAAACAAAAAGTTTGAAAATTATGTAATATACATAGATCAAGGATAATTTCTCAGATAAAAACTTGGAAAATTGTATTATGTATAGATCAAGGATGATTTCTCTTATAGACACATGTACGTAACAACTTTGCGGCGCCGCCACACACACACACACACACACACATGAATACGATTAAAAACTAACGTTATATAAACACCTTTATACAGTGTACATAAATTGTACAATGTTAGCTCTAGAAACAAATACATTAACATAGCATTAAGTTGAAACGTATTAGAAACGATGTAGATTGAAATAAAAGTATTGATATTTTAGCAAATTATTTTATATTTTTTCTGGATTTTTTTTATCGAAGCAAGACTTGCTGCGTAAAATGCAGACTTTACACTTATCATTCTCAGTTTTAAAAACTATAATATATAATTAAATACCATCAGCATTTTCAAGTAGTTTTTATTAATATGTATACCTGTATCAGCCATGTGACCAACTCTACGAATGGTCGCAGAACTGACGAGTCGCGGACTTTTTTGATGACCAAGACGGTAAGTGGTGTTCTGTACCACGTCAATCTTTGAGAAGCCGGATCTTGAATGGTCCTGGACAAGAAAGAAAAAACTATGTATCACGTTTGTGTTACAAATTCTTTTCTAATATAATAATTTTCTCAGCCGATTTTTCAGGTGCAGCCTCACGCGTGTGAACTTACATCGAAGATTTATGTGTTTTCTTGTTAACATTTTATAGAAATAATTTTATAAAGCGCAAACTAAGGTCACACGAGATCGAACAATAAAACAAATCAACAATGGTGTTTTATATGCACGAACGGAGAAGGCGATTCTCGTGTTCGCGCGTTCTTGGTCGACCGCCTATGCTCATCGATTGCCCCGTCTCTAATTATTCATGAGACCCCGCCGTAATTACATCCTCTATAGACACAATCGGCGGCAAAGGGACAAAGGTGACAGAGAAAACGCAAAGACACGGTCACTAGTTTTTTTTACTACTATTAGTCTGGTAGAATTACGTTGCTACGTAATATATGCGTTATATGAGAGAAACTGAAAATTTTATTGCGCACATGTTGTGCACGCATTAAAACAAATCATTGGACAAAAAGACTCGTAAAACCTCTTGTCAAACCGATTAGTGGAAACTGCGCAAAAAAAAAAAAAGATAGATAGCGACACACAAAACTTGCATAACTGACATTTTTTTTTTTCAAACAATTGTCTGGAACGATCGACAAGGCACGCGCACCCATTTCAAGCGTGATATTTGAAATACAGACAGTAAAAAACAGATTTAAGAACTTAATAAAAACAATAGTTGCGGATATATATTGTTTTATTTATGACAGCTGACGCGGAGACAAGATACTCAACTCTATCCGGTGTAAAAAAAACTGCCTCTGCAGCAACGTACTTGACGATCATGATACGACACAACAACAACTTGTGCGGCAAAGATTGTGCGCTGTACTAAACGCCGCGAATCTCTTCGTTTTTTTTTTCTCTCTTACCGCCGAATAATAATTGAACGAATACGCATGCGTTTTTGTTGCGCACCGATTCTCGTTGTTGCGGTCTGTCATTTTGCATGGACATCGCGCGTGTTCGTTCAGCAAGTTTATGATTACGAGTCGCGGATATCTATGTTAATTATGTTACATTGCTACACTTACATTAGAATACATATATCTCGAGTTTTTACTATCAAGAGTACACACACATATTCACTTACTCACTCACTCGCTTGCTCTCTCTCTCTCTCTCTCTCTCTCTCTCTCTCTCTCTCTCTCTCTTCTCATACTCACACATACATACACACAAACACATCAATAACATATACGTTTTCTTAGATAAGTCAATGTAACTTGCGAGAGTAAACATCTTAGATGTTCTTGCACACACACACACACACACATACACACACACACATATATATATATATATAAGAACATTATATATTCGTGATAGCAATATATCGTCTCTATATATTTTCGTGAAAAAACGATAATCTTATAATTTATGTATTACAGTCAGATAACGAGTCGATAATCCTCTTGACCGGTAGATTCACGTGCTTGATACATATATATATTCTTCGCGTGCTTACAAATGTAGTTTTATCTACTGTAACTTCTGCCAGTTTGTCCCTCTTTTTCTTTTTTTATTTTTGTGTTATGTCACAATTAAATAAACATGAGTTTATTTAATTGTGTCATAACACAAAAATAGAAAAAAAGAGAGACAAACAGACAGAAGTTACAGCAGATAAAACTACATTTTTAAGAGCACGCGAAGAATACAGTCTAATATAGAAACACTTTGCAATATCGTTTTCGTGTTTTTGTTTTTCTACAAAATTATTTAAAAAAAAAAACATATCAAAAAAATGTTCGCGTTCAAAAAGAAAATAGCAATTGCAACGATTAAACATTGTTCAAATTTAATTAATTCTATTATGTAAAATGTATATCTTTCTCAAATATGACCCATTATTATTCATTTTATACAATGTGCATACTTGTTTCTTTTCTTATATGGCAAGTAATGAGATCTTACCTTGAGTTTATCAGGTGAGAAAAGAGATTATTAGAAAAATTCATATTAAGCACAACTGGTAACATTTATATAAAATTAATATTGTGTATTATCAAGATAGTAATTTTTATCTTCACCGGAAAAATCTATCATCAAAATTTAAGGAAAAAGTAAGTTTTGCTGGTTTGCAATTTCTCGTAAACAATTGGTAATTTTTTATAGAAACGCCATGTGTGTGTAAGACGAAACAACAAATTCACTGAGTAAATTAAGAAATGTCGTACGCACATTATTCAACTACCCACCTCTCGGTTCCAACCATGATGCGATCGGTTGAATGACGCGCACTTACTGACCATGCAACAAAGTAAGATAGACATTTAAACGGAAACGCGGCGCACGCGCGTCTACGTCACGTGTTACACCAGCAGAAGACCACACTACATAGATACGAATAGCGATAATTCATTAATGTGAGCGTTATTAACCGATATTTTTAAAACATTTATATCCTACAATATTTTACGTTCAGTAACACAAATGTATGTCAGCAAAATGAAAATTAAGTGATATACATTACATTCATTTCAGTTCAAACCCAGATAGCAAAATGTGAAAACTCAATATATAGCAAATCATTGTATAGATTAAGTTGCTCGCCAATTGCTGTTGTGTTGTTTTTATTTAATGCAACGAAAATGTTTTTGTCAATTCAGTATCAATATGCTGAGTTTTATTTATCAATCAATTGTTGTAGCGCCAATGTTTATGACAAGTGAGTCAGCAATATGTGAGCAATATATCAGCAATAATTGTTATTCATAAGTTAAGAAAAATAGTAGAAGTTTATTGCCGATGAGTTGTTGGGAACTTGCTGTTATTATATCTTGTAAACTGTTGCTGGCAAGAACATACCGAAAAGAGAATACACCCTTTTGTTACATTGCTGAAAACATATGAGCAATATTTGTGGCAAGTTGCCACCAACTTGCACTCAGTTGGCTATCTGGGAAAATACTAGTTTAAAGTATTTTTTGTTTTGTGTGTATTTTCATAAAAAACAATCAATTTTCAATAAAAATACTGTTGAAATATAATCGTAATAACGTTTGAAATTATAAAATTACCGTTCAATATTTTAATATATTTAATATATAATTTAAACGTTCGAAGATGTTTTTCGGGTTTGAACCGTATTAGTGTTATTTTTATACCGATGTTTTGTGTAAACATTTCAACTCACTTTATCAAAGTTTCAAGAGCAGCCTAATACAGTATCAATAACGATAGAAAATGTCAAAAATAGTCAAATGTCAAACTCTTAGAGTTTCAACAATTATTTTGACAACGTCTTAACTATCTGACTATTTTTGACATTTTTTATCGTTGGAAGACAATGTGGTTGTGAGTCATATCAAGAATCCCACTGATGAAGACTAGGAAATTACAGTCGAAACGTGTGGGAATCAACTGTTTCAATCATTTAACCTTTGCAAACTATCCTATTCAATATTGCCCGCTACCTCACCAAATCAAGAGTAAAAATTAAAACTCTTAACGGAAATATAGAAACTGTAGTGGTTTTTTATAAATAATTAAATTTTATATGGTACTAATATATAATATAACACATGGTAAGAGCGCGAGAGTTGGCGTATTCGGAAACTTATGCATTTATTCATATGTGTATCAAGATTTTCCATTCTGTCACTTACAGTTTTAAATTGTCACATCTTAATATCGCAAGCAATAATAAAAGATTTTTATCTAAACACAAAATGCGATTTAGTGTGATCTTCAAATATACAATATAAACTCACAATAAGAGTATTAATAAAACCACAAAGTAATATTCTATATCTTCAGAGATATAGAGTAGAATATACAAATTAACGCAGTAGCAATTTGAAGCAACGTAAATAAGTGAAAATAAAAAAAAAATCAAGCAAAAAGTTTCTAGAACTTGAACATAAATTATCTCAATATCATTTCACATATCGTGATATACAAGGTGTCTGAAAAATTTTGATACAGCTAAAGTGTAAAGGTAGAAAATAATCTGAAAAAGTCATATACCAATTTTGCAAAATTTACAATAGTTATTGAGTGATTAATTAACACACGTGATTCAATGAGTCATATCATCATACGGATTCTGTAGGCATGTATAATTTTTAGTTGTGAAAATCAGCTGATTGTAAGAAGCTATGTCACTCGCTATTCGCTTTTGTTCCGCCTCTTGCTCTCTTCATCTTTTAGGAGATTGCATGAAGTAAGCCATTTTTCTTTACAACTGAAAATCATACACGCCTACAGAGTTCAGATCATTGTTTGGCACGCGCTTATTGGGTCACATGTATTAATTAATTACTCAATACCTATTGCGAATTTTGCAAAATGGTACAAGACTTTTCTCAGATTGACCCAATTTACATATTTTCACACTTCGGCTGTGTCAAAATTTTTCAGACACCCTGTATACTGTTGTGCTTAGTCATCATTTCTTGCAGAAAAAATTGCAAATAACTCCCACCAATTGTTTCTATCATGTTCGATCATTTAGTATACGAAGCGTCACGATTACTATTAATTTAAACAAGAGATGTTTGTTAATGAAGTTGTTTGTCGTTGTTTGTCGTTAATTTTTTTTTCTACCAAAGAATACAAATATTTTTATATATATAAATGTCCGAAACTGTTTGCTCACGTTTATTCTCTCTCTTGCTGAAAAATGATACTTTATTTTTTGTTATAAACAATTTTGATCAATCTGATTAATAATGTATGACCATAACATGTTTTTTTCTACAACTTAATTAGCGATGCTAATATATAAAATAGAGAGACGTGTGCAACAATCGAGATTCGATGTTAAAATATATAAATACATTGATGCAGAGCGATATTTAACAACAAAATAATAGAAATATTTCATAAAATAACGCATTTTGCTGTTAGCAAACAAAACACTGTATGTGAGTTACTTACATAATTATTGCGGAATTTTTTGCGATACGTCCACATGGTCCGAATGTTTGAATGGGACTTGGTGCATTTAGGCTTCTTGTTCTCCTGTGCAAAAAACAGAAAATATACATTAGTTACAAAAAATTATCGGAAACAAATTATTAAAAAAACGTGCATCCAAATGCTGTAAGCATCATGGCGAAACACAAAAGTGTGAATTCAACACTCTGAATTCTCTAATCTCCGAAGCACTCTTTTTTTTGTTTCGCTCACATATACTATTCTTTATGAAAATATGAAATAGAAAAAACGAATCAACTTCGATCGAAGAAACTACTACTCTTTTATACAAACATACTTTACAATTTTTAAATAATTATGAATACATACACGTATGGACACATATATGTGTATAGACACACAATATACAGGGTGTTCCAGCTAACTTGAGCATCCTAAATATCTCGCTTATTTTTTATAATAAAAGAATGCCGAAAAGGATCATTGTTCAGTTCGAGAAAACAAATACTGTAATAAACAGAAAATTTTTTTCAAGGTCATATTTTTTAAGATTTCGAGGTCATTGTCATTTTTTTAATCTGAAAGTACATATTCTTATCCTCGCGATAGGCAAGGTCACACAAATCCAAAAAGTTCTTGTTTATTACAGTATTTGTTTTCTCGAACTGAATAATAATGCCCTTTTTAGCATCCTCCTATCATAGAAAATGAGCAAGATATCTAGGATGCTCAAGTTAGGTGAGACACTCTGTAAAAACATATAAATGTGTTCAAGTTTTGTAATAATTACGAGACGTGGGATTATGACTTTCATTTTTGTAAAGAAATTTCTCTTTGCTAAGCATAATAATCACATGAGCTTAAAGGTTTTAAGTTACTCGTGCGCATCTCACGTGTGAGTCATAATTATGCTGAGCTAAAAAACAAGATAAACACATTCTCCGTAGATTTTATATAATGTGTATTAACAAAAAAAGTAATTAAGTAAGGATAGAAAAATGATTTCATAATGCACAGTTAGTTAGTATATGCTTTAGGTTTATAGACAATTTTAATTTCACTTTAAGTTATATATGTGTAATAGCGATGTGTAGATGCATCAAAAATATGCAAAAATACATACTTAAAGGAAATTAAATTCGAGTTTAGCAGTTCTAACATACTTTTACTATGATATACTTTACACCGTAATCAAGTAGCATTATACTTTCTGAGTTGCTAGCAACTTGATAGTAACTCAGAAATTATAAATGTGCGTAAGTCAATTAGTTATCAAGTGTATATAAAGTACATAAAAAATGTCGAGTGTGTTTGCATTTACGTCAAGTTACTAAAATATAAAATTATTTATTTTTTTATACCTATATAGCAACCAGTTCAGTTTGCTATTTTTTAAAAAAAAAGTGAGTTTTTACTCAACCTGATCGTAAAATGTGTTTGTGAATGCAAATGCACACGACTTAATTTTTTTATTTTTAACACGTAACAGGAAACGTTTTTTGTAGAAACTCTACCTAAGAATCCGATTTTGTGAATTGCTCTCCGTCGACGAATCGCTTGACCCATCATCTTGCGGTTCGACAATATTACAGATAAAATCATATTTTGTATTGATATTATTGTCACATAAACATGAAATCTGATCAGTCATCTTCTACGAAATCACAAAGCACTTCTTAACGAGAAAATATATTTACTAACACTTTGCACAGAATATCTCGAAGTCACAACTGTCAATAACGTACTGACTTTATATTACTTCACTGCAACACGTAGAGAAAATGACGTAAGGAATTGGCGTAGATAAGATATTAGAAATTATCGGGTGCTAGTGTACTCAAAAGAATCTTTGTTAATGAAGTTTAACAATCACGTGTAAATATCGTGCAACACGCGAGTATCTTGAGACAACGTCGATGTGGTGCCAAAATTGTTTATTTTAAGATTCGTGTAGTAAGAAGAAATCGCAGTTGCTAAAATTAACGTTATCTATAACTTGGCGAATTTTTAATCGGCGTAGTCTTAAGAGTAGTATATGTACATGTAGTAATATATTATGTATAAATATGTACAAAAATAAAAAAGTTAAAAATTACATTTTAAATAACTTTGTTCTCTATCATGGTAGCGAGAGATTAAAAGAACATCTCATATTTGTCACTTGTTATCTATATTAATAGATCGTAAGAAAAGAGTTCAAGAACATCGTGTAATTTTACGATCTCGAAGCACGCGATGTTGGCTTTCACAAGAGCGATTGTATTTCTAAACCTTATTATATCAAATCATGGATGTTCTCTCGTTTCTTATTCAAGCAAACACTTTTCATTTCCAAGATTTTATCTCAAAATGTCTTGATAGAAAAGAATACACCTTTGAAGAGAAAATTTTAAAATCAGCTTTTTTCTCTTTGCGAAAAGAAAATATTAACCGATATGTGATTTTTATAAATATCTACGTACATATCTTACATATCTTTGTATCGATTTATTGTCATATTTTAAAAAAGCTTTTTTTAAAACATTTATCTCGTACTTAAAAAATTAATAGATTACACAATAATAACTTAAATAAATTCTAGCGTCATAGTTTTAAAGAACAGTGTGCGAGAATGTTTTCTTGAAAGAAGAGTTGAAGGAGAACATATTTGCATAAAAAGATATTTCTTTTTCGAACAAGTCACATGTGGTCATAAGTGGGCGGTATACCGCCGCGAGCCTTGAACTTTGTCCGAAACCTGGCATAAAATTTATTATGTGATTGTGCAATAAACTTAAGCGATAATTTTATTTTTCAATTTATTTTTCTCGATGCAATCATATAGCGCGATTGTGTAGAAGTCGTATTATTTTTTACTCAGCCGATCGTTAACGTTGTAATATTCGTAGTCACTGCACTAAGTTGCACACCAATAATATTCAAACTTCAAGATATCATACACAAGATGATATTGGAAATTAAATATTTTATAAATATTTTATATATTAATACTATCTGAATGAGATTTGAATTTTAAACAACGCACTCACAACAACAACTGTACGACGAGATGTCCGCGCGCGGAATGACGCCTGGATCTCCAGGTACATGGCAATTATGTTACATTCCCTTTCGCTGACGGTCGGTAATGACTCGACTTGTGTCGATGCTGCAGGTAGTATATAATTGTTCGAACGCGCGGTGCAAACGATACCGAGATAATTCTGGCGCTGGATTCACGAGGCGAAACACACGCCACATTGGTATCGGTACACTCAAGGATATTTTTGTCTACCGACTATGCCTCCCCGAAGAAATCGCATGGTTATAGTATTTTATTGCCCGAGTGCTCTGTGATGATGTAACAGCTTTCTTTGAGTAAATTTGTTACATTTACAAATGGACAAAAGGCACACGGACATAAAACATGCCTATATTTTCTCTATCTTTACTCTTTAAGGTATTACCCTGGATTGTTTTCTAATTTTCAGTTTTACTTTAAACTTTTACACAATGTTTAAAAACTTGATCTATGAACCCCTGAATTTTTTCAGATTTTTTTACCGTACAGTTTTAGAGAAAATCGAAAACGAATTTCGCATGATTTAACATAGAAGTGATAGGGAGAATGAGGAAATCACGTGCATTCGCCTAAATATCTAGAGTTCAAATTTTCAGATTTGGCTAAAAATATTACTACAGCTTCTTTAAACTATAAAGAAAATATGTGTGAAAAATCAGACGCCTGTGCCGTACAGTTTTTCAGTTATAATTAAAATAACACAGAAAACGAGCGATTTTATGATTAGTATGAGAAAGAGCGACGTTGCCATTTCCTCAATTGAAGTGAGATAGAACTATCTCCGCTCCCGCAGGGACGTGAGGGTAATGTACAATAATATTAAAATGTCAAATAAACTTTTATAATATTAAATAAAAAATAAATGATTACACATAACAAAGAGAAAGAGAAAGAGAGAGAGAGAAAAAAAAAGAGAAAGAACATTGTTTATAATAAGTGAGTTGTGTCATTCACGACGATGAGTTTCATTATCTAACAAAACTTGATATTAATGAAGGTGATTCCAAAGATGAAACGTCGGCTTCAAACGTAAAAAGAAAACTCAAGAGACCGCACGATTCTGTAATCGATTGCATCGAGCATGAATTCTTGAAATTCCGTTTAACAGAGCAATGAGAGGCGCCATGCGCATGAGTCGTACAGGAGCCCATCGAGTAAAAGCCGGATCGGATGGAATGTGGAGCGAAAGGTGAACGCGTTCTCGTTCCCGAAGAAAAGAATAATAAAAAGTGCACCAGCAGCGTTCGCGATTTAAGCGTGAGCCGGGTGCTACACTCGTGCAGTTAACTATCGATACGTAATCTCACGTAGACTTACGCAAACCACAATATGACGCGCGCCTCGGCAATTTCACTGATAATCTACCACAAGGTTATCCCTGTTTCATATTTCTCACAGCCGTTGATTATTGATAGAAATAATGACAGTTATATTTGTAATAGAGATAAGAATGTTGCGTTATCGCCGAAACAAAAAATTAATTATGACAGCAACACAGATTATTTTTATATCCGCAACGATACCTCAAGTCATACACGTCCATGTGCGCCGATCACACAACACGTGTTTCGTCTCGTAAATCCTTTGTAAAAGCAGATAGAAAACAAACTTTCACTATTTAAATCAACGTGGACTAAACGATGATTAAGACACGCTTTGGCACCGACATACCACGAGGTAATCGAGTACAAGACAACGTCTCGTGGGCTACGAACGCTAGCGTCGCGACGCCCAACGCGATGCACGCAGGCGCGGCTCAGTAATCAATTCTAAGCACGCGACACATTTTGCTCAGTTTTCATTGTACTATATTTTATATGTATATTACACGGAATTTTCAGTATCTCTCGATTACTCAGCTAAATTAGATCAAAATAACAATATAATTTTAAGAAACTTTTATTTATGAAAAAGAAAAAAATATCAAGTAATTTTGAAAATAGTTTTGCACAACATTTAAATCTATATTATTATCTTTGTATTTACTATTATAATTTATGTAGTTTACTTCTATAAGCTGTATATTAAGTTTAATTTATCTAAATATATTTAACCTTGTTACATATTATACTTATTCAGCTATAATAATATCAAAAAGTAAATTTTATCTTGAAATAATATTACTGATGACCAGCAAACTTTGTTGTACATGTTATCATTGAGATATCTATTACATATTTACGCGTTATACGAGTCTGTGGAATCAAACATGATTCCACTTCATTTATGAAATTATTGGCTTAGTAAACATGTACGTAATACTTAATGCAATTTTGCAATAATTAATAAAATAATGTTATGCGAAGTATAACTTTAATAATAAACTAATAATACTTAGTTTTTAGTACATCAGAAATATGTATACATGTATATACACACACAATTTTTTTTATACAAGAATATTGCACTTTAATATTTTTAAACAATAATAACTAAAAAATAAAAACCTATAAAAAGCGGTTTTATAATGAATAAAAAAAAAAATTTATTCCGGTACCGGGAATCGAACCCGAGCCTCCTGGGTGAGAGCCAGGTATCCTAGCCACTAGACCATACCGGATTACTTGAAAGAGATGCTTTTCTGTACATCTTTCAAGCAAAGAATTCATAACTATAAAAAAAAAAAAAAATAAATTCCGGTACCGGGAATCGAACCCGAGCCTCCTGGGTGAAAGCCAGGTATCCTAGCCACTAGACCATACCGGATCTTGCGTTTTTGTCTTCTGTGAACTATACTGAAGTTATGATTCATATTCATAATTTAAAATACAACTTTAAAATAAAGATAACAAAAAATCACAAAAAATAAAGAAAATTTGTTTTTCTCTCTAACTAAAAAACTTTTATAATTAATAAAAAAAAAAAAATCATTCCGGTACCGGGAATCGAACCCGAGCCTCCTGGGTGAAAGCCAGGTATCCTAGCCACTAGACCATACCGGATATCTTGAATGGCTTACTCTTATAACATATCTTGAGTTTGTTGTTCAGAAATAAAGCAAACAGTTTTTATTTTATAAAAGAAAAAATTTTTTTCCGGTACCGGGAATCAAATCCGAGCCTCCTGAGTGAGAGCCAGGTATCCTAGCCACTAGATCATATCGGACATTTCAATTGTCTCGCTCTTATAATAAATCTTGAGTATATAATTTACAAATAAAGTCAAAATTTTTCTTTTGTAAAAAAAAATTTTTTTTCCGGTACCGGGAATCGAACCCGAGCCTCCTGGGTGAAAGCCAGGTATCCTAGCCACTAGACCATACCGGACATTTCAATTGTCTCGCTCTTATAATAAATCTTAAGTATGTAGTTTACAAATAAAGTCAAAATATTTCTTTTGTAGAGAAAAAAAAATCTTCCGGTACCGGGAATCGAACCCGAGCCTCCTGGGTGAGAGCCAGGTATCCTAGCCACTAGACCATACCGGATATCTTGAATAGCCTGCTCTTAAAATGAATCTTGAGTTTGTAGCTCATAAAATACAGCTAAAAATTGTTTCTATAGAAAAAAAAAGAAACTTCCGGTACCGGGAATCGAACCCGAGCCTCCTGGGTGAGAGCCAGGTATCCTAGCCACTAGACCATACCGGAGTTGAAGGAGCTGCTCTTATAATATTGCTAACTAAACACTTTGTTAAAAGTAATTTAATTTTAATTAGTTTATTAAAAGAAAAAGAGACACGGTTGTTATTAACGTTTATGAGTATAACGCAGCAAAATAAATCGTACAGGATTTTGAAATCTAAAATGAGATGTTAAACGGTGCCAATCTATTTTGTAACCACATTTTGCTGACGTTAGGTTTAGTATATTACTAAAATTTTACATATTCAATGCTATTTTAAAAACGATAAAAAAACGTATAATATATTCAAGTGCTGTTTCAATATATTTAAGTTATTAGAATTAAATTTTTAGATTTCTCTTTTCTTAAATTGCCATGTTGCACAAACTTGTTAATGTGCGTAGTTTTTTTTTTTTTAAACAATATTTAACAAATAAATAAAAAATATAATACAAAAAGATATAACAAAAAATCAGTAGATCAAATTACTTAGATTTACTTGTTTCGATATTTTTTTCAAATCATTGTCGAGTTTGTATCTCCGTTGTATGTATTTTCTGCAAAGTACTAATTAATTCTACTCACGGCCAAGTGCCAGATCGTTTTCGTCTGCGAGTCTCTGGTTGTACCGAATCTTCCCGAAAAAGTACTTCATCATCGTTCTCACAACCAGCAATAACGCTCTTGCATCCGGCTAGGCATCTCCAGTCGAGCACTTCGCTTACGCTTCGTCTACGTGGCTTTTCTTTCACCATGTCTTATTCAATAAAACATTATCTTTTTTAATATTTTTCACACACGCTGAATTTTCCACTTCGTCTTCGACTAGAACACGATTTTATATTTCCGCATAGCGACACGCTCAAAGTAACGGCACTGTATTACGTTTCTTTTGCGTAATGATAGTCTTCGCATAAGCAAACACTTTTAATTACAACTATTTTTTCACCACATATTTGCACATATCACGTTGCTTTTGGATGTTGCAATTAATTTCGAGCACATCGATTTCAGCATCGATTAGCTGGCTATGACCTTACGTGCTTCCCGCGCTACTTTCGAACACGCAACGAACTATACACGCTTTCTTTTTTTCGCAACAGTAATTGCTCCTGACACCCAAAGACCTCCTTTCGCGATGGTTAAACTCGGAGCTTGTACACGCGGCAAAGAAAATAGCGAGTCTGTTCGACTGGTAGCATAATTCTTAATAATTATTCGCACAACGATAATGTCTTTCCTTTGCTTCTCGCTATGAGAAATGCAAATAATATGTTTTAGGATATATGTAACTTGTAATTACAAACGTGTACGTGGTGCACATTACGCGCACAATGAACTTCAGTAATGATCGGTTTGGATTTACTTGACTTTAAACTATTGTCCACCTTAAAGAGTTTGATTTCGTTGAAGTTGCAAGTTAAGTATGTCAAGAGAACGTCTCGCGAGCTTCGTTCTTGTTTCGAGTATCAACATGTGTTTGCGACCTACTTCCTTGCTGAGGAAAATTTCACTTGTCAATTGCGACGGAATGACCGATAGTGAATTTCACTCTTCAAAAACATATCTTATCTGGTTTATCACCAAAGCTACGTCTACTCTGAAAGCTCTTTGTAATATAATATATATACACACGTAACTAATTTTTTTTACAGATTTGTTAATTTGCTAAATCGACAAATAGAGTGTGTGTGTTCATTAACACACACATGCAATCTTTACGAGAAAAGTTTCACAAATTTTAACACTTGTATGTAGATTATTTACATAACTTTTGTATATATCATTTACGTATTCTCTCAAACGAGGTTTGACACTGCATATATGTAGTTATTATGTAAAATATTATATCTCACAAACACATTATAGAATAAAAATAATTTTATTTCACCTCGAGTTTAAACTCCGGAAAACAGTTATGTGTATTATATGCTCAAATTTTGAAATTAATTTTTTTACCATTTTAAAAAGTAAAAAGATTTTATTATGCGGATAAAACTGGTCTAATATACTGTTCGTTATTAATGGAAACCCGATAAAATGAGGTCTCGAGGTAGCACGTAGTAATATCCACTGGCGCGCACAACAACCGCAATCGACGACCGCTGAAGGTTCACTGATTGCGAGACACGATTTTACCGGCTGTTGCCAGTCGAGAGGCAGTTAGGGCTTTCTAACTCGCTTCTTTCCTCACCTCTCACCGGAACGTCTTATCATCACGCGTAAATAATATACTGAAGAAATGAAAAAGTCAGAAGTTCAAAGAAATCACGATACATTTACAAAAAAATTCAGGGATATAGAAATAACAGAAATAGTCGACATATATATAAAAATAACATTATATTTATATCAACAAATGTGTAACACAGCACCGCATGCCAAACTTAAAAAGAGATAGAAAATATTTAAACAAAAACAAAAAGAAAATTAAATTATATAATTTTTTTTTTTAGAGTTTTAGATTCAGAAAAATATAGAAGCTTTAAAAAAAAACATTTAGAAAAGTTTATCTAACAAAATGTATATTATATTGTTCTTCTTAATTAATTATTTGTCTATAATTTTTTATTGATTAATATATTAATTTTGTATTATATGACAATAAGAATTTATTTGTTCTTCCACTATTAATTTCTATTATTCTTCTTCGCGACTATTAATTTCTCTAAAGTTTACATAAAATTGTTCACATTTGCGGCAAACTATAAAACTATTTATTGTTTGAAATTTGCAATCATATCAGAAGTTTCCGCTTTAATTCTGCTCCATTTCCAGCTGGTGAAAGTTATAATGACCCTAAGGCGAACGAACTATAAAAATCATTTGACTGATTGTGAGAGCAAAGCTCATTAAATAGATAAGTGAACACGGTTTTACACTGAACCGATTTGTTTGGACTTTTTTCACTTTTTAAGTAAAAAAATAACTTTTTTCTAGAAAGATAGTATACTGTGCTATCACTTGTATGTCTGCTAAATGGCATATAATGAAATTTTTGAATAATTGATAGATAGATGACATTATAAATATAAGCGTTTTATATTGCATGACTAACATGTAGTAACTAACTGTACTTTTTGCTTGTGCTAATGCTAACTTTTAGCAATTCAAGTATATCTCTTTCAAGAATAACATTCTCGACTAGTCATAAACATGTAGCTTGATGAAAGATAAGAAACACAATGCCATTTTTTCAAATATTTTTAGTGTCAAAATTTACATTACAGAAGACGTTTCAACATATCGCGTCAATATTTATGTCTAATAAATATACATGTTTCCTTTCTTCAGAAAAACATACTGCGTTTTTTACGATTATTTTTGACAACAAAATTCGAGTTTTTTTACAAAATGTAGCAATTAAATCAATAATTTATAACATTGTATAAATATTTTATAAATATTATATAAATATATTATTTTTATAAATATGTATATATGTATACATGTATACATATATGTATAATGAGAAATTGTTCTTTATTATTAAGTCTCTGGACTAACATGTGCGATGGTGGTGTAATGGTCAGCATAGTTGCCTTCCAAGCAGTTGATCCGGGTTCGATTCCCGGCCATCGCACGAGTTTATTTTTTACTTTTTATTAATTTTTTTTTCGAGATAATTCAAGTGTACATTTATGGGAAAGTAACAAACATTTTTATGTTATAAAATTATTTTTATTACTATAAATATATAATAAATAATAGCCTGTTTTACATATTAAATACTATAAAGCAATATTAAAAAATTATGAACTGATATTGTGGTCCATACGGGTGTGTTAACATAAAGATAAAAAATTTAGTTTCATACAAACTATAATAAATTATTTTTTTTTAATTTTTTGTACGTTTACGATATACACTCTACAGTAACGGCGCTGTTATCAGAAGCACTGCTGGTGTAGTGGCATCATGCAAGATTCCCATTCTTGCGACCCGGGTTCGATTCCCGGGCAGTGCAATCTTTTTGATAATTTTTTTTCTCGATTTTGTTAATTCGTTTTACAATAAAAAATGATAAAGATTATTGAAAATTCCTCTTCTTAGTGCTAATTTTAATTTATCATATACATAATTATATAGATTAATAATATTTGCAGCAAGTTATTATAAACTTTACTATAGAATTTAGCAATAATTTTTATAAAATTAAAAGAAATACTTTTTATCTATTCTTGGGTAAAATTTTATGTTTTGTAGTAAGTTTAAAAGGTTTTGTAATAAATTTAAAGTATATCTTATAATAAGTTTATTTATATTAAATAGCAGCAATCACAAAATTATGAGATATGAAGTGATTTCGTTAACTCTAATAAAGAGACTGCTAGATAAATGAGTACATATACAAGGTTTTTCTATGATGTAAGAAAGAAAGTCGCCTAGTTTTTGAACTCTCTAAAGCAACTACTTTATATCACTTATCTAAAGAAATTTGTAAAACAAATATCATACATTAAAAATTTCAAACAATTGTCAGATAACTGCTTTTGCTCTTTTCTCTTTTTTTTTTTTTTTGACAAACACAATTTTTTTGAATAAAATAAATACACAGGAATAGACATTTGCCGATAAATACGGTGAATCGTCAGAAACATGAGAGAGAAGAGAAAAAAATTATCACGATAAGAGAAAGCTCCATGATAACTCAGTCTCACCGACGAGGAAAGACGAATCGCGTTGTTCGTGAAATGTGGAGTGATTAAACAATGTTGTAGCCATCAATTTCGAAAATTGATCGCAAGATAACGCGGAGATTGTTTCGTCGCGTGAAGTGTGATATATTTTTACCAATTGTGAGTGAGAGTAAATATAAGATTGAAGAAAGAGAGAGAGAAGAAATATAGAGAATCCTCTTTTTCTCTTTCTTAATAGTAACACAAAAATGTGATAGAAATCCAAAATTAGTGGAGCTCAGAAATCTCCTCACGATGCGGTCATTATCATTGTAATGTTGCTTAAAAAGAGCGATATTTTTTTATGTCATCTAATTGTGCAGTCATGTGATATTGCGCAATATCAACTGCTGTTATGCCGCTGTCTCGTGTAGAATATTCATCCGGTACTTTTACTTGCAAAGTAGAACACACTATAATAGAGAATAGAGATTTTTTTTTCTAGAACATTCAAAAGATACAAAAAAAACTTTTTACGCGATATTTAAAAAAAAAACATAGAAAATATGTTTAAAAGAATAAGAAATATGATAATTGTGATTGATATACCGAGGTAAGAAAATTTTACGATAAAATAATGATTAGTCAACATCAGTAGACAAAATCAAGGACACAATATAAAAAAGGACGAGAAAGAGAAATTCAGCGCGCGCGCGCGCATTTTGTTTATTTGTATAGAAAAAACATTACTTTCTGTTATTATATCATTCTCTGTATTACTTTTTCTTATTTATTTTTGGAGATAATACGTAGTGGATATAGATGATGATTTGGACACACTAGACAATTTTTATATTTAATTGAAAATAATTTTCAATACACACACACAGAACGTCATCACATATACACTTTTTTCGTGCCACGTCAAGACAAACCATAATGCAATATCAATAAAATGTGCATATCATTACACAGAAAGCGTGTAAGATTCCCAATAGCTTCACACAAAGTATCGAGACGAAATGTATACATAAACATATATACATGTACGAACATATAAGCGAAACATATATATCTATATAAAAGAAAGAAGAACCTGTATACAATTCCGTCTATCCAAATAAAAAGAAAGATCTTTGTAGCATCTAGAGAGGGTAGGGTATTGTGCAAAATTATTTAAATTAGATACTACACAAAGAAGCGCAGTCACGATACGTATTTCTACAAGAAAACGACTATACCAACAAAACAACATTGTTCAACAGGCAAAGACAAACATTCATGCGGGTTACACTAGATGGCAGTTTGGTACAACTTTATACAGCCAGATGACTGTAAAAAAAAAGAACTGTGTTACCTTCGCGGCTCCACCATTTCGGCCTGATCGACTGTTAACTCGAACTCGTTGCTTCAAGAGAAAAAGACATTGTTAAAATTCGCCAACACAACTGACCGACTGGTTGTATCAATACTTGTCAAGATAAATATGTTTATGCAACATTATAATATATAATTAATAATTTTTTTTTTAGGATTGCACGCACACACACAGCTCTGCTCTTCCGTGTGTGTGCGACGATTAGCGTGTGCATATTACAACTTCAAAAGAAAACGGTAGAAGCGAATGTAAGGTCATTTGTAGCCTTGACACAAATCACCTTTTATATAATTTTTTTTTGTTGTTGCTCACGAACGTGGCAAGACACGGTTGCTTGCACAATCGTTGAAAATAGTTAAATATCTTATTTCCTTAAAAAAGTTTCTCGATACAGTATATATTGATCTTTGATATTTAGAAAACCTGTTTTGTTGTTTAAATTTGTAACTTTGATTAATCGGAAGGTAACTGTACAAAAAATATAGCCTATAACATTTTATATCGAGCTGTGTTAATTTCATAATTGTATTTACACAGTATTTGTTCTAATATTTTAATTAATTAATCAAGTTTCGAATGTGTGCGCGCGATTTATTCGAGATTCACATGGATCGCGCGTTTGCGCTGTCGCAAAGCATCGTAAATCTTTCATAAACAAGTATTACATAAAATAATAATGTCAGTGACATGAAGAGAGGAACGGAGTAAGAGAGAGAAAGAGAGAGAGAGAGGAGAAGAGCATGATGATTATTTCGCGTTATTGAACGAACTATTTACAGACAAAAATTATTAATTTTATGAGCAAATTGCACGGGTATAAAAAAAATACTTAAATATTTATGTAAATAACTTGCGACTTATAAATTTTATGTGATAATAAATATTTTACAAAGGTACATAAAAGATAATATCTCTTACTTGAAAGTCTGAAGTTTGTCGTGCACTCTCGACACCGTGGTTTTCTTTTCTTTAGAGTTTAAATCCATATCGGCTATCGCCCTGGCCAGCTGAAGATCTTCCTCGTTCATGTTTCTCTATCTTGTTGTATCTTCCTTTTTCTTACTCACTGACGGTCCGGATGATAATGTCGGGCTTCGTGTGCGTGCG